CAGCCACGAAGACGAGAAGAATGATCACGGACATTATCGAGGTCGCTTAGCTGTCAACAAAACCAGAGAAAGAAGCTTCCTAATGTCTTAGACAGAGCGTCCCAAAGAGATGTATATACATTATAATTCAGTGGTCGCTTGTCAGTCAATTGCTCGCCGCTGTCAAACTGTTTCACGAAAATAACGTTCGTCATTTTGAACACCTCTGAATGACATCAGGGGAGAACACTTAAAAACTTAACGCAGAACGGAATATCTCAAATAACACGCCCCTTGGTTTTCCGTGGCCCTTGCAGTAAGCAACCAGAGTTGAGGAACTTCCCGCAGTTGCCGGCAGATGTACCAACGTCTTATTTGCTTTGCACTTGACGTATACTTTAAACCCACCAGCCCCTGGTCTGAATTTATTTGGTGTTTCAGAAGATCGCTAAAATAAACGTAGGTCTACAGCAGGGGTCAGAAAACTGTGACCCGCGGGTCACCAATTTAGGAATTTGCCAATGCGAGAAAGTCAAACATTTCTGCTGATCAGGAGTACAATATCCAGTGCTGCAAACGGATGTTCTAATGAAACGAATAAAAATTTTATATGTGTAGGCCTGTAACATTACAACCGTATTTTTCTACAAAAATGCAATGTTCCGGTGATCAGACCAAATGACAATGAACAAAATAATATGAAAATTATTGTGGTATTAATAACTGTGGCTTTATCAAATTAACAATTACTTCAAATCAGGACTGTTTTAAAGGCAACAAGGAATGTCTTTACAATACACCTGTATGCTATCTGATTTCAAGCAAATACCAGAAATATGCTTTAAGTTACAGAAATAAAGTTTCGCTTATTGTCCAAGACAAGCCCTCGACAAAGATTATGAATAGCCAATGCGGCCATCGGTAATGAAAAAGTTTCCGAACTCTGGTCTACATAGTTAACGTTAACTATACTGTGATTTTTAGACAATATAAACTGCATGTTAGCATGGTTAGAGCAATTATTTGCCAACAGCGAGAGCTAAGTTCCCAAAAAACACTGAGATACTCAAAGCCGCGGTTTGTCTTCCACGATCCTTTTGATGGTTTTTTCATAGAATTACGGTGGTTAATGATCTAAAACTTCCACGGTGACTAATTATAATCAATTCTCCTCGGGCTACCACCCGTGTAATGTGGCTTAATAAAGAATGTTTTATATGGTGGTTGTTGACAGTCTGGAAGCTATAGAACTGGCTGTGGATCAAATTACAGTTCTGCCTTGAACAAATGTGCATTTATTGATACGAAAGCCACGTGCTACTTTTCGTCTGAACATAAACTGAAAACCGCAAAATACCGCACTTTAAAAAACTGCATACAAACAGAAAAACTGGATACTTTAATCCGCGATTGGTGACGGATAACTGTACTAAAAAAAGGTAAAACCAAGTAGGGGTTGAGGTTTTCCGAAGATGGCAGTCTTCTGAGTTGTTGCACCGTGTAGCCTTGTAGAATTTTACCAACGTTTCACTCATCGCCCTGAAGATAGAGGCAGCAAGGACCTCTGAAACGATGATAAACTTCTACCAGACTGCACGGCGCAACAACCCAGAAGACAGCCATCCGAGGTGAGCTCTCGCCTGACGCTGAACCTGTGCGTTGCAGGTGAAGCGGTACTCCTATTCCACCTCGACCGAGAACTCGTCCTACCCCTCCAAGCACCTGTGGTCTCTGCAACGGAACTGCATCAACAAGTGCGAGCCTGGTTGCATAGTAATAGGGGAGCGTACCAAGTTGTACGCATGCACTGCCTGTTGCGAGAAGTCTCTCTGCAACACGATGAACGACGCAGCCTCTAACCACCAGCACTCCACTTTCTTCGCCGTCCTCGGCGTCGTCCTACTAACTGCCTTCACGTCGTGACCAACACCCCCCTCCCCTCGGCCTTCCTCGGAATCACAGAAGTACCAACTGGATTTACATTCCCTTCTGACAGCTGTGGAAATTATAAAACTGCTCGTACAGTCCACGACTGTAATCTTGAGACTTTCGGGGTGAGGAAGTGGGGGACGTCCTGCATTCCTTGCAAGTCTCAAGATTACAGTCGTGGACTGTATTTCCTGTTTCGTTGGTAACTGCGAATTTATTACGTGTGGCGAGACAGGGGACAAAGAATATTATTCAAAAGATGAGCAACACGTGCTACGGACCATGCGTTAAAAAACTAATAAAACGGATAAAACTGTCACGTCAGAC